TCGAAACTACCAGTGGTTCCGTGGGAGAAAGATGAGGCTTTCTGCTCCCATAAAGATTTACAGCCTTGGAAACCCTGTACAGGGTCGCTATGAGTCGGAAGTGACTCCACGGCACATACCAACAACAACAACAAAATCCTTGACAACTTCAGTTTTTTTCTCCATTTATCTTATTTTAATGGTCCAGTTGTGAGTATTTTTGTATTCTTTATGTTGAGGTGTAATCTCTACTTAAGGCTGTAATCTTTTATCTTTATCAATAAGTATTTCAAGTCTTCATCACTTTCTGTAAGCAAGGCTGTTTCATCTGCATATTGCTGGTTGTTCATCAGCCCTCCTCCAATCTGGATACCAAGTTCTCTTTTATACAATTTAATGCTTCAGATTATTTGCTTAGCATAACAATTTAGTAAATGTGTTACAACCCTGATGCACACCTTTCCTGGTTTTAAACATTTAGTTTCCCTTTGTTCTGTTTGAATGGTTGCCTCTGTTTCTGACTTTACTAATATCAATTTTCTATCGTTTTTCTGGTTTTCTCACCTTTGCTTTCTTAATTCCTACTGGTAGTCCCTGTTGTTGTTGTTAATTGCTGTCAAGTATGTTCCGAAAATCATGTGAACACAAGAGTTCAGTTCATAAGTGCTTATGTTACATATTTTAGTTTGGCAATTGTGTACATGCTTAAGGATTTAATTACCAACAAATTAGCATTGTGACTTCTAGGTATATCTCTCTAGCCAGAACGCTTTCCTGAAGACCAAGTTTTTAGTTTCAGTGATATATTAGACATATATCTACCAGGATATCCCAATGTTGTTATTGTTGTTAAGTGCCATTAATTCAGTTCCGACTCATAGTGACTTTGTATAAGATTTCTGAGGAACAGCTAGTGAGTTTGAACCGCTGACCTTGTGATCCAACCAAACCTTGTAGGCCAGCACATTAACCCCCAGAGCCATACCAGGACTCCAGGATATCCCATAAATACTTCAAAACCTGCACACTGCAAACTGAACTTTCACACTGAAATCTGTGTTTTCTTCCCATACACCCTCTTTACATTTGTCCAGGGAGTATATGGGCGTTTACATGTATTCCTTATTTTCTCTTGCCATCATAGCTAATCTGTCACAAAATCTTGTTCCCTCAATTTTCTTATTTTCCACTGTATTATAGATGGAGTGCTTATTACTTTTCTCAGGCAAAATAATACCATAGATTTCATTATCACTAGCTCACTTACCTCTAGTCCATTTTATAATCTGAATGCATTGGATTTGGCAATTAGAAAATCATTAATAATACTTTCAGTGGACTGGTGGGGTGAAAGTCTGCAAGCAGTGAGTCAGACAGTGAATCAGTTTAGGTTGTGGAACAATGAGAATAGAAGCTTGGATAGGAAGGGTAGAAAAAATGTAGAGTCAGATCTATCAAGGGAGAAACTTGATTATGTTTACAGAATGTATGAAAGGTCTATTAGAGTGAAACAGTGAGAAATAAGGAAGAAAGTTTATTGGAGGAATTAGCTTTAAATAGTAGAAAGAAACTTTTGTCATAATAAGTATACAACATGAGGATAAATAGAGTTATGAATGTATGATACAAATGTATGAGGGAGAAAGGGAATGAAAGGGGTTCTCATATGACTACTTCCATTTTTTCCCTAGTAAGTAAGATGGAATTTTACATGTTCAGAAAGAGAAGAGTAACATGATGTTTCTGTTGTTGTTAAGTGCCATCCAGTTGGCTCCAACTCATAGTGACCCTATACAGGGTTTCCAAGGAGTGAGCTTGAACCACTGACCTTGAAGTTCAAACCAACATTGCAGTCCAGCACATTAACCCGCAGCGCCACACTAAGACTCCAAGATGGTGGTTTAAAAAATGTAACGAAGTTTTAACATAGCTCCATATAAGATGCATTGAAAATTTACATTGTGTTAAGGACCAAGCTGTGATCCAATTTATAAGACTACAAGATTTTCTGAAGCTGTACTCAGCAGCTTTCATATAAGAACAAGTAAAGCAGATAGTCATATTGCTCTGTCGTTGAGGTTATAAGAATAGGGTTGGGGGAAGTAAAAGATGGTGAAATAATTGAGGGTGTTGCCAAATGTTGTTAGGTGCTATTGAGTTGGCTCTAACTCATAGCGACCCTATGAACAATAGAACAAAACACTGCCTGGAACTGTATCATCCTCACAATCATTGTCATAGTTATGTTTGAAACCCATATTGCTACTACTGCATCAATCCATCTTGATAGGGGTCTTCCTAATTTTTGCTGACTATCCTCTTTTTCAAGACTGATATCCCTTTTCCAGGGACTGGTCCCTTTTGATAATATGTCAAAAATTCAAGAAATGAAGTCTCATCATTCTTGTTTCTAAGAAGCATTCTGGCTGTACTTCTTTGAAGACAGATTTGGTCTTCTGGCAGTCCATGGCACTTTTTATTTATTTTTTAATGCTTAAGTGGATGTTTGTTATTAGGCTTACTGGGTGTCTCCTGGTGAGTATGATCAGGAGACAGGCTTCCCTTTTCACATGTAATACTTAGCAGGTGTTGTTGGCTCTTGTCTCAGTGGTGGAATATTATGGGGGTATGCTTATAGCTTGGCTATATGGCCACAATTGCTGTCTCTTCTTGGGTAACCTAGGGAGAAAAAGCTCCCGCTTCCAGGAAAGAGGTATGATCAAAAGGACCAAAAGCAGAAGTAATATAAATGCAGAGACAAATACCACCACTTTGAACAGAAATAAAGCTGTGGTCGACTGTCCCGTGCTACACAGGCAGTGTGTGTGCAAGGTAGAAGCCTCCATCAGTGGGCGAGGGTGTCCGCTTGCTGAGGCCTCTCTTCTAGTCACTA